GGCTAGCCTAATGGTTAAAGCGTTGGCTCGTCACGCCGAAGACCCGGGTTCACAATGTGTGAAGCCCATTTCTGGTGTCCCCCGCCGTGATGTTGCTGGAATATTGCTAAAAGCGGCGTAAAACCAACCTCAGTCAGTCAGTCAGTCCGAGCTTTTCATCTTTCTCGAATGAATCTTCTTGTTTGGTTTCACAATCACCTTTCCCTTCCTTTCTCGTTCTTTTACCATCCCTTTTGTCCTCATGAACTTGTCTTCTAATCGAAGTATTTGCCATTACAGATTCGACGAAGTCAGTGTAGTTCAACCCATCACACATCTTCCTAAAGCTCAAATATATTGGCACAAATTGCATATTGTTGAGTTGCCGGAGCTAATGGAACTCACCAGGCGGATTGTATTAGTCAATTTACGGCTTCAATACAATGAAGTTAGACACTTTTCTTCAAATTCTTTCCACTTAACCTCCACTTAAATACAGGATGAACAGTCCAGTGATTAACATCATGAGCATCGACTTACGCAAGTAGGATACGAAGACATTCTTTTCTTGTCCACCAGCACTACAAAAGTGTTTTCACATATATTCTGTCGCTAACTTCTTATCTAATGCTGACACTATTTTCGTAGTGAACAACATTTCCTGTGATATCTGCACGGAATCCGATTTGTTGTAAGCGAAAATCTTTAGTGTGGCAAAAATAAACACGTCAATAAAGTTGATATCACTAAATTGTTTGCTATAGGAAACTGGTTGGCCTTGTGGGTTCATACCCCAACATCTGTACTACGAGTTAAAGCCTCTCTTCCAAAATGACACATAGTTGCAGACTAGCTGACTTGTGGGGACGTATCCCAATATCTGTACTGCGAGTTAAAGCCTCTCTGCCAGCATGCCACACAGTTGCAGACTGACTGTGATGTATCCCAACATTTGTACTACGAGTTAAAGCCTCTCTGCCAACATGACACAAAGTTTGAGACTGACAGGGATGTATCCCAACATTTGTACTACGAGTTAAAACTTTTCTGCCAACATGACACACAAGTGCAATCTGGATGGAGTTGAGGGGACGTATCACAACATCTGTACTACGAGTTTAAGCCTCTCTGTCAACATGACACACAGTTGCAGATTAGCTGACTTGTGGGGGCGTATCCCAACATCTGTACTATGAGTTAAAGCCTCTCTGCCAGCATGACAGAAAGTTGCAAGGTAGCTAGCATGTGGGGACGTATCCCAACATCTGTACTACGAGTTAAAGCCTCTCTGCATGGCACAAAGTTGCAGACTGACTGGGACGTATCACAACATCTGTACTACGAGTTTAAGCCTCTCTGCCAACATGCATGACTCACAGTTGCAGACTAGCTGGCTTATGGGGACGTATCCCAACATCTGTACTACGAGTTAACGTCTCACTACCAACATGACACACAGTTGCAGACAAGCTGACTTGTGGGGACGTATCCCAACATCTGTACTACGAGTTAACGTCTCACTACCAACATGACACACAGTTGCAGACTAGCTGACTTGTGGGGACGTATCCCAACATCTGTACTACGAGTTAAAGCCTCTCTTCCAACATGACACACTGTTGCAGACTAGCTGACTTGTAGGGACGTATCCCAACATATGTTGTACGAGCAACATCTTCTCTTCCAGAATGATGACACATAGCTTTGGAATGATGAGACGATGGAATGATGTTATCTGTCTCACCAGAAAGAAATGTCGTAATTTTATTCTAAGACTTTGCATTGCTCTTCAGTTATTGGCTTTGATAACATTTTTTCAGACACATAGAAGAAGGCATATCAAATATTTGAACCATTTTTCATATTTTAAAATTAAGATCCATATTTATCACTAAACCAATATGGCGATAATACTCGCACCCATCTTGAGGTAAATATAAATCTTGTGATATATTCCTCAGATACTCTGTCGCCGCCATATAGCTGGAATATTGCTGAGTGCGGCGTAAAACAAAATTCACTCACTCAGATACTCTGATAAGTATCACATGTGCATAGTATACTTACTTTAGTTATGGGAGATGGCAGCTTGTCTTTTCTAAGATTGGTTCATCTTATCGTGGTCACATGGCAGCGTCGTGTTTAGGATAGGTTAATAACAGCACCTGCATTTCGTTGTTCTTGTTACAGTTCTGATGCAAGTTACGTCAGGTAAGTCAAATTGACAGAATGATCATATCCAGAGAAACGGCCACTGTTGTTTCAATATTTAACAGTGTTGAACGCATACAATACAGAGGCTGTCAGTGGCTGTTGATACTGAAATATGTTATGTTTTTATTTTGTTTGTTGTTTGGGAGCATGGATTTTCACAAGATATCTTTGTGTTTAGTTGCAGAATGATAACATTTATTTTAATATTTTACATTTAGTACCTGATCCCTAAATGCCACTATAGTGTGTTTGTAGTGAAAACGTACTGATGAATTTCACTTTAAACAAAAATGTAAATCGAATAAAGTGAAATTAAGATCGCCAATCCTCATAATTTTACCTTAAAGTGAAATTCATCGGTACGTTTTCACTGCTAACAGACTATACATTCTTTTTATTTATGGATATGGTCACGTCTTGGCCGAACTTGTTAAGTGGATTAATTGCCACGAAAGCGATTAATTATTACTTAATGGATACCTCGAATTTACCAAATACCAAATGACATCTATGTGTTAACATTAACATGCATACATACGTCAGGTACGTCAAATTGACATCATGATCATATCCAGAGAAAAGGCCACAGCTGTTTTAATGTTTTCCAGTGTTTGAATTTATACAATACAAAGGTTATCATTGTCTCTTGAAAAGAAATGCTAATTATGCTTTTATGTTGTTTATTGTTCGGGAACTTGGATTTTTCACAACATATTCTTCTGTTTTAATATTTCATTTATGTCATTTTAATATTTTACATTTAGTACCTCATCCCTAATCTTTAAATGCCACTGCATTCTTTTATTAAGTGAATATGGACGCATCTTGAATGAACCTGTTAAGTGGACAAATTTGCATCGATGTCTTAACATTAACATACATAGGTAGGTCAGCCCTACCGTTCTGTAAGCAGCTTTACATATACGGTGGACGTGCGGCCAGTGCGTCATGCGAAGTTATTTCCCTTTAGCGTGCAAGAATCCTATGACCGTTGGTTTGAATCCTGTACTTTCCCCGTTATGTTTCAAGGTTTGTCTGCAACATATCGGGAGATTCACAATCGTTGTTAACTTTCCTCAAACGTCAAACGTCAAACTCACACAACAGTCATCTATTTTTGGATAAGTTTTATTGTTAAAAATATGAAAGTTTTGAAAATAGATACATTTGATTGTGTTTCAAAGAAACATTAGTTTTGCTTACTTTCAATTTCTTTGATTTCCAGGATGATTTGCCTTTTTGTGCTGACTTTCGCTTATGGTGCTCTAAGCGCCCCGACGTAAGTTACAATTATGTGAGAAGACTAGAACTGGCTAAAAGTCAATAATTGGAAATATCTTCGATTGGAATCATTACTTGTTTACTGTCCATGTAGGTGTCGAAATGCTAATTATGTTGCTTACTGCACATGCAGGTGTCAGTATTCTAATTATGCCGTTTACTGTAGCAGGTGGGTGGCAGTACCCTAATTATGCTGTATATTGTAGCATGTGGGTGTCAGTATTCTTAACGTGTTGGTTACTGCCCATGTAGGTGTCGAAATGCTAATTATGCTGTTTACTGTAGGATGTGGGTGTCAATATTCGAAAAGTGTTGTTTACTGTCCATGTAGGTGTTAGTATCCTAATTATGTTGTTTACTGTTTTATTTCTTTTAGAACTGTGCCGAACGTTAACGTGACGATAGGTCTCACGCAAGCCTTCGGTAGAATCGATAGTGATGGAAGCGGCACTGCTGATGTTTCAGAATTTCTGAAAGTTTTTGACAAGTATGATCTCAACGGTAGGTTTCGTTCAGAAATTCTTTTGACGATTTATAATTTACAATTCATTGTTCCAAAACTTATGGTTTTCACAATACACGAGACAATCTCGGTATCATATACTGTCACTCTTGCAAGCAATGCTTAAGGCCCAATTTGTCACTCTCCCCGTCGAGGGGAGACAAACGAAAAATTGGAAACCTGGTCATCCCCGGAACGTCACGGTATGTGTTGATGAGTGAGTGAGTCTAAGTTTACGCTGATTTTAGCAATATTCCAGCAATATCACTGCGAGGGACACCAGAAATAGGCTTTACACATTGTACCCATGTGGGGAATCGAATTCGGGTAGACATAATCGTCGAGAGCCATCCAATCTATTAGTACTCATGCACCCAAATTCCTAAATGGCAACCTGGAAAATATGTACACTCTCGTCAAAAATTGAAACCAGGCCATTTTGATTTGGAACCAAATTGCATAACAATCATGTCATAGTGGAATCTTTTGTTAATGAATATCATTAAATAAAATACGTCTTTCAATTTCAGATGATGGCAAGATGTCAAAGGCGGAGTACATAGCTAGTACTAACGCGCCGAAATCCGTTGCTGAAGCAGTTTTCAAGAGTATTGACTCCGACCACGACGGTTTCTTACTGAGGACCGATGTAAAGAACGTCATCCCCGCGTTCGATACCAATGGTAATGAACCTTGACCTTTACTATGAACACATTGCATTCGAGATAGGCCGGTCAGATCGATATTCACGATGTCCATCACTGGATTGGCTAAGACCGGTGTGATGTTGCTGGAATAAGAGAGAGAGAGAGAGAGAGAGAGAGAGAGAGAGAGAGAGAGAGAGAGAGAGAGAGAGAGAGAGAGAGAGAGAGAGAGAGAGAGAGAGAGAGAGAGAGAGAGAGAGAGAGAGAGAGAGAGAGAGAGAGAGAGAGAGAGAGAGAAACCGTTAAGTTACCCTACCGTCCCCACAGAATCAGGTTTACAAATATAAAACCCAAACAAACCCATGTCATCATCTTTTCAGGCGATGGCGAGGTCAGCCTCGCGGAATTCGTCAACGTGTACACGAAGGTAGGTCATCATCGCACTCCGAACAAGGAACCATTTTCACCTTCTTTGAACTTTTTTGAAAACAAAACATTTCAGTGTTTAAGCTAGAAGATGAACAAGATCATACCAACAATTTTGAGGTCAGTCTTGGTACAAACAATTCCGTAATACAAGATTTAAATACAAGATTTAAAACAAGAAGCCATAATATCACTCAGTGTGTTTGTTCGCACCCTGCGCTACTCGTAGAGAAACGTTAGAGTGAGTGAGTGTCACAAGGGGGCGCTTCAACTGGTGACAAGTTATTTTTCTGATCCTTCAGCATGCAAAGTCACATATTCAATATTTATGATGTCATTTTGAACACTACTATCAATGTTTTTCTTCTTCTAGATTTTCGCCTCGCTACCAAACCCTCCTGTTGGTAAATAAAAACTATGAGCAACAGTTCATTGTTCCTTATTCTTCTGGCAGACCCAAACATGTCTAAGCTGTGTCGTGTCCATTGTCCACCTGTAGGCGTAAGACGTACACGGACGAATGCATAGAGGACATCACGCGATCACTATCTATGCATGACCACGTGACAGAGTGATCTACTTCGGCGCATGCATGTATGATCAGTTATGGCTAGAAATAGCTAAAACATTCCAATATCTCAACAGAACAACGAACCATTTTCAAGCCCCTGTTCGTCAGCGGCTGTGAAATTTGAACGGGACAAGTGTCCCGTAAGGCAATTGCGTTGTCCTACCAAATTTGCTAATATGTATGCATTACTCACAGAGTGTAAAAGACAGAGCAGGTGTATTCAATGGGATCCAATGTCAAGAGTGTCGTTTCTGTGTGTATGATGTTCACCCTTCACTCAGCAATATTCTAGCTATAACTCTGTGTGTGTGTGTGTGTGTGTGTGTGTGTGTGTAGTAAAGTAGTAGTAGTAGTAGTAGTAGTAGTAGTAGTAGTAGTAGTAGTAGTAGTAGTAGTAGTAGTAGTAGTAGTAGTAAAATGTTTAATAAAGTGTCACACGCACAACATTTACATTAAAATACAGAATCACATACAACAGCTTAAAGGAAGTGCGTCCAGCCATACATGGGCTTACGAGATACTATATAAATACATTATAACTCGAGTAACGGTACACACATGATAGAATATAATATGGGAGATAGAAATTTAGGCAGATTGTAAATATGACACCCTGATAACAACAACAGACTCCTCGATGAAACAACAAAAGAGACCGAAAAGGAATAACAGGAGATTCTTAAAATAATCAAAATATTTTAAATCCAAACATGATAAAGCGTAAGTTAGAGATAAATTGTATATTTAACATTAACATTATTCCGCGATTTGACGTCTCTTAAACATTTTCTAAAGTGCATTTACTAATTCTTTTTGTAAAACATCGGAATTCATTATATTTATTCATTATATTCATTAATTTATCTGCATCACAAAGGTGATTAAAATTACAGTTGCGTTCTGCAGCTGCCATAAAAAGGTTACATCTAATGTCTTTATAAAAAGTACATTGGATCAAAAAGTGAAATTCATCTTCAATAAAATATGTAAACTAGCGTCCAAAAGAAACGCCACCAAAATAAAAATTATCATAAATTGTCAAAATAATTGCCAATCTGCTGAAAAACAGCTGAAAACACATCCCTCGAACACAACCTGTCTGTTCCCAGTGAACAAGTGCACGAGATTTGGATGATTGGTGAGTTAAATGAATTCGCACAGAAAAAATTGAAATTGTGCACAAAGTTACCCGTATGACATGAGGGTATAAAACCTGACTAGATTTGTTCTCTCTCATCATGTGACACGATTGAAAGCAGCCAACATGCCTCGATTGACCAAAGAACAGAGGGAAAGAGCAATTGGTATGCTTCAGATGGGCGCAACACAGGAGCACGTGGCCAGGATCATGGGATGCTGCAAGTCCACCATCGCCAGACTTGCCACACGTCACAGACAGACTGGCAGTACTGCTGACAGACCCAGGAGTGGCAGACCCAAGGTCACGACCCCACAGGAAGATCGATATTTACGGGTGCTTCATCTGAGAAACCGCTTCCTCAATGTGACAATAGCCAAGCGCCAATAGCCTTGGGCAAGCAGTCAGCAGACAGACCGTAGCAGACGACTCCGTCAGCATGGCATTCGTGCCTATCGACCTTTCAAGGGCATGACGTTAACGCTCCGACACCGACGTGCCAGACTGAGGTGGGCCAGGACCGTAATGCAGTGGCAGCAGCGAAACTGGCGAAGAGTGCTCTTCAGTGACGAGATCAGGTTCCAGCTCTTCAAATCTGATGGTCGTGTTCGAATCTACCGACGTCGGGGCGAACGGACGGCACCTGCTTGCATCCAAGAAGTGGGGCATTACGGCGGTGGAAGCGTTATGGTCTGGGGTGAAATTTGTGGGGACAAGAGGACAGATCTCGCCATCATCAACGGTAATCTCACCGCACGTCGTTACATCGACGAGATTTTACGGCCTGTGGTGCTGCCTTACCTGCAACGTCACCCAAGGACTCTGTTTCAACAGGACAACGCCACACCTCACACAGCTCGAATCACTTGTGACTTCCTCAATACTAACAACGTCAACCTGCTACAGTGGCCAGCGAGATCACCCGATCTGTCTCCAATCGAACACCTCTGGGACCAACTGGGGCAACGTATTCGGAAACGTCAACAGCCGCCATTGACTAGGGACGCTTTGGCAGTTGCCCTGCAAGAGGAATGGCGCCGAATCCCTAATGATTACGTCAGAAGGCTCACGTACTCACTTCGACGCCGCGTTAGAGCCTGCATCACTGCTAGGGGTGGCCACACACGATACTGAATCATCTGTGTTGTTCAGGACAGTTTAAGACCTTAAAGACGAATCAGCGTTGGCGATCGAATACTGGATACTGCACCCCTGTGTCATCCATGTGCCTTCAGAACACGAACTGTTTCGTTTTTCTAACTGAAAAGTTCCAAGTACTGTTGCTGAATGATTGTGTTTTACAATACAACACTTCTTGTTACCAAAATTTGCTTTTGTTGTGTTTTAGTGAAGAAAACTGTTTGGTGGCGTTTCTTTTGGACGCTGGTTTACAAGCATCTTTACAATTTTTACATAGCCTTTCTTCAAGTGGTATAGAGGGATTTGTATATCTACCCGTGTCAAAATACAATGGTGAAATTCCACACCTAAACTAGCTAAAATACGACGATGGTCTCGAAAGAAAATATATTTTACATAAAATTCTACAGCATGGGAGACCTTAAACTTTCTGTAAGTTCGTAGCTTATTCCCATTAACATTACCGTCATCATCCCAGAGCTTCGCGCGCCATTTTGATACGTCCTCATGCATTAACACTTCTTTAAAATATTTTACACAAGCTTTAGTTCCCCAGTTATTATTTAACAAATGGACACAGTTATATTGTCGAACGATATTCATTAACTTGTTATCCCAGGAGGAAGGAATCCCATTTGCCCATCGATGAATTTCATACCCTCTACCTTTGGTCTTACAGACACTGAAAACCATTCCATGTCCATAATAAACAGCGGATTCTTACTTACACCAAGAAACATTCTACATGCTCTATTACATCAAGAAACATTCTACATGCTCTAGTACACCAAGAAACATTCTACATGCTCTATTACACCAAGAAACATTCTACATGCTCTAGTACACCAAGAAACATTCTACATGCTCTATTACACCAAGAAACATTCTACATGCTCTATTACACCAAGAAACATTCTACATGCTCTATTACACCAAGAAACATTCTACATGCTCTATTACACCAAGAAACATTCTACATGCTCTAGTACACCAAGAAACATTCTACATGCTCTATTACACCAAGAAACATTCTACATGCTCTATTACACTAAGAAACATTCTACATGCTCTATTACACCAAGAAACATTCTACATGCTCTATTTTGTACAACCTCTACTTCCCTGTAATTGTTCATTCTCCATAAGCTAGAACCATAATATAAAACCGGTTCAACCAAAGATTCATACAATTTGGTAAAAACTTCATATGACATGTATCGTAGGCATTTTGGAACAGTGTTTATAAGGGATATTTATCTATATTCCCTGAGTTGTGTAAATTGAATATCTCTCACAATAATGACCTTGCTGTCAGTAGAAATGAAATCAACGCAGCTTGACCATTGTCGCCATGGCCACCATCGTAGAGTCATTAGCTGCCTTATCAAAGTTAGACAAAGGCCGGTTGGCCACTGTTCCAAGCATGGCATTGTGGATGAGGTGCGGGGTACTGCAAGCTGACCAGACATCTGTCGCAAATGCGACACGTGATAGTCTGATCAGGATTCGACCCTTAGGGATAAATCGAGGAAGCTTTGTGTTAGTAAGGACTTGAGTCTGAGACCGCGGCTAGGCAAATTGGCTGACCATCACCTCCCCAATGCCGCCTAGTCATTGTTACAACATCGTGTAGTTGTATATATATTGAATCATGAATAAAGTGTTGTGGACCCACTGATGGATTCCTGTATTCCAAGGGACAGTTATCCTCTTTAATCAGCCAGGGATACATACCACCAGCACAAATATACTTAGTAAACAGAGCACATAAAGCTCTACTAGCCGCTTTACAGAGCTCTTTAACAGTTTTATGCATGTCCATATGCTCGTTTAAACACAAGCCACGATAACGGTAAATACTGTCATACATGACAGGGTTATTATCACATAATTCATAATTCATAAGATCATTATTAATACTAATAAGCCATTAAAAACACAAATTGCCAACTGTATCCATCATTTTCTGGAGGCATATTTCATTTGGTGCTAACAGTGCTATGTCGTCAACAATTCATCATCAAGAGGTATACCACAGTCCATATCTCTTATTCGGCTGCTAAGTCGTTTATCTAAATTGAAAAGAGGGTTGGAGACAGTCTACAGCGTTGTTTCACAACTTTTGTGGCATTGAAGGAGTCAGTAACGTGGTCATTTACACGTACAGCACACGTCACATCTTGGTACATGGCCATCGCTTGAACGGCATTGAGCATATTCCCATATACACCAATAGACATAAGCTTATACTATAAGCAATTCCGGTCAACAGTGTCAAATGTTTTTTTAAGGTCAAGAAAACACACATGTGTAGATAATCCAGCTGCTTTTCAATTGTTTGCCAGATTATGTAATGTATATAAATGATGTATACAGTTCCGTTCTGATCTGAATTTGTTTTGTTCTTCACACAGCACGTTGTTATTTTCAAGCCATTTCACGAGTCTCGAGTTCAAAACACTGGCATATATTTTGCATGGTCTAGACATCAATGTTATTCCACGGTATGACAAAGGAATCCTTAGGAATTGGGTATATGAGACCTTGGTTCCATTATGTGGGTGAGACGGAATGATTAAAACAGTAACTAATTATTTCAGTTTTGCAAAACCTGACCTGGTATACCATCCACACCAACAGCCTTGCCTTTCTTGGTGTGTAAAACTGCCTGATGTACCTCCTCGTGCGTGATAGGCTTGTTGAGTTCATTTGTATCCACTTGCATGTGATCTGTACCGTTAGAAACGCGATCGCACACTCTGTCATAGTGATCCTGGTCAAAAGTACCGTTATCCTCCTGGTTACAGAGCGTGCTGTACGAATCTCTCAGAATCAACCTCAGCACAGAATCAACCTCACAGTCCATATTACCATCACGTTACTCCATTTCCATTGGAATAACATTAAAAGATCTTCTGTCATTTGCAAGACCGAGGCTACCAATTTTCTTCCAAAAATCTTTTCCATTCTAGCTGTTGTGTAAGCTTAACAGTTCTCTTTGTTGTTCCAGCTGCAGTTTACGCTTGGCTTTCCTTAACTGTTCATCAAAGGCTTTTCTCTTTTCTTTCATATAGATATGTAGACTTCAACAGACGTTTTTGTTGAGTATTTCCTTTTCAAGGAAGTCATTTCTTCTCATTTGCACATACACTGTTTCATTTGGATTGAAGTTCATCTGACCAATATGCCTTTCTTCTTTGCACATGTTTGTTACCCCACCTCTTGGTCCCGGGGTTTATCTACTTCACCTTACATGCCATCTCGTTATGAATGAACTCATTCAGAGAGTTACCAGAGGAAGTTTGGGACCGTTCATAACTTATGGCTAGGGTGGGGGTTGGGGTGTGTGTGCGGGGGTGGGTGAGTGGTTGGTTGGTGCTGATGATATTCATGGAGAATCATGTACAATGTGAATCACCACCCCCCCAAATTTATGTACAAAGTAGGTGACCTCGCCCTGCATGTCATGTACAAAATCAATGACCCCTACCTTCCCATACTTTTTAAGCATAAGTTTTAATATTTCTATGTACAAAATTGCTGACCGCTCCTAGTACATGTGCACAAAATTGCTGACCCCCCGCCTCCCAAGAACAAAATGAGCCCCCCCCCCAATCATCATCAACACCATTAACAACACACATATTGCGGTCATTTAGAAAGCTCAGTAGCAGTTGTCCTGATGAGTTTATTCCTTCATCCAAAACAGTTCTAGTTTTGACATTATCGACGCCTTCTATATAATCAGATTCCTCTCCAATCAATGCATTAAAGTCACCAGCTAACACGATTTTGCCCAAATTTTGGAAGTCATAGATGTGCTCAATCAAAGTCGTGAACATCTGACGATCACTTGATCTTGTTGATCCAACCGGAAGCACATACGTCACACCAACGCAAAAATTATCGTCTGCACTTCCGTTCCCTATCAGTAGCCACAGGATATCCTCATGCTCGTCATTCAGAACTTCAACTTTATATTTAGTTGTGATATAGCTCTTGACAAATATCCCTACACCTCCAGAACCACGTTTTACATTAGCATGTAGTCTAGTTCTATTATTTCCATACCAGACATAACCCTCCAAATTAATTGAATCACAGTTACGTAAAAATGTTTCACACACACAAACTATATCATAGTAATAACATGTCAAATTATGCTTTCTTAATTGTTCATTTTCTACTTCTTTTCAAGACCACCCTCCAACGTTCCATAGACCAAGCCTCACTCCCTAAGGCCGCGTTGACCTTATCTTCGGCTTGGGTATGAATCCTTTACTGTTCACGGTGTAGACGCTGTAGACGTTGTTCTTTCCCATCTCCCGGACGAGTGTCCTCATGTTGTTGTTGTTGTTCGCCCTCTCCTCCGTCGTCGTCGTACAGTTCTCTATGTACACATCTGTATACTTGCAAGACTCTTTCAGTGAAGCTTCAGCCTTCATGATCTTAGTCTTAGAGTCCACTGAGTCGAGAGCAAAACTAATCCAGGGTATTTACCTCTAGGTCTCTTCCTCTCTTCCTTTGTGACGTCAACGGCCCGGGGCTTCAGGCCGTCCCGTAGTAAAGCGTAGTTCACCGTTACAATCGAGTCTTTATCCTCGTCCGTGTGAAAAGTCAGATCTTTTATTATCACTGACCTGGCCATCCTGATATTTTCGTTGTTTACTGCGTCTTGAACGTCACCTTGACTTCATCATTACTGCTGTCAGGATTTAAAACGCCGGCTTGTCCGCCATCTTGTTTTGACGACTCTGTATTTTCATCTGTGTTATCCGAGCTTTTCATCTTTTTCGAATGAATCTTCTTGTTTGGTTTCACAATCACCTTTCCCTTCTTTTCTCGTTCTTTTACGATCCCTTTTGTCCTCATGAACTTGTCTTCTAATCGAAGTATTTGCCATTACAGATTCGACGAAGTCAGTGTAGTTCAACCCATCACACATCTTCCTAAAGCTCAAATATATTGGCACAAATTGCATATTGTTGAGTTGCTGGAGCTAATGGAACTCACCAGGCGGGTTGTATTAGTCAATTTACGGCTTCAATACAATGAAGTTAGACACTTTTCTTCAAATTCTTTCCACTTAATCTCCACTTAAATACAGGATGAACAGTCCAGTGATTAACATCATGAGCATCGACTTACGCAAGTAGGATACGAAGACATTCCTTTCTTGTCCACCAGCACTACAAAAGTGTTTTCACTTTACCAAAGAAAACAAATATTCTGTAACTAACTTCTCATCTAATGCTGACACTATTTTCGTAGAGAACAACATTTTCTGTGATATCTGCACGGAATCCGATTTGTTGTAAGCGACCATCTTTAGTGTGGCAAAAACAAACACGTCAATAAAGTTGATATCACTAGACTGTTTGCTATAGGAAACTGGTTGGCCTTGTGGGTTCATACCCCAACAACTGTACTACGAGTTAAAGCCTCTTTGCCAACATGACACACAGTTGCAGACTAGCTGACTTGTGGGGACGTATTCGAACATCTGTATTACGAGTTAAAGCCTCTCTGCCAACATGACACACAGTTGCAGACTGACTGGGACGTATCACAACATCTGTACTACGAGTTTAAGCCTCACTGTCAACATGACACACAGTTGCAGACTAGCTGACTTGTGGGGACGTATCCCAACATCTGTACTACGAGTTTAAGCCTCTCTGTCAACATGACACACAGTTGCAGACTAGCTGACTTGTGGGGACGTATCAAAACATCTGTACTACGAGTTAAAGCCTTTCTGTGAACATGACACACAGTTGCAGACTAGCTGACTTGTGGGGACGTATCAAAACATTTGTACTACGAGTTAAAGCCTCTCTGCCAACATGACACAAAGTTTCAATCTGACAGGGATGTATCCCAACATCTGTACTACGAGTTAAAACTTTTCTGCCAACATGACACACAGTTGCAGACTGACTGGGATGTATCCCAACATCTGTATCCCAACATCTGTACTACGAGTTAAAGCTTCCATGATTTACAAGCCTCTGCCAACATGACTTGCCAACGTATCCTAACATCTGTACTGCGAGTTAAAGCCTCTCTTCCAAAATGACACATAGTTGCAGACTAGGTGACATGTGGTGACGTATCCCAACATCTGTACTACGAGTTAAAGCCTCTCTTCCAACATGACACACAGTTGCAGACTAGCTGACTTGTAGGGACGTATCCCAACATATGTAGTACGAGCAACATCTTCTCTTCAAGAATGATGACACATAGCTTTGGAATGATGAGACGATGGAATGATGTTATCTGTCTCACAAGAAAGAAATGTCGTAATTTTATTCTAAGACTTTATATTGCTCTTCAGTTATTGGCTTTGATAACATTTGTTTTGACACAGAGAAGAAGGCATATCAAATATTTGAACCATTATTAATATTTTTAAATTAAGATCCATAAACCAATATGGCGATAATACTCGCACCCATCTTGAGGTAAATATAAATCTTGTGATATATTCCTCAGATACTCTGTCGCCGCCATATAGCTGGAATATTGCTGAGTGCGGCGTAAAACAAAATTCACTCACTCAGATACTCTGATAAGTATCACATGTGCATAGTATACTTACTTTAGTTATGGGAGATGGCAGCTTGTCTTTTCTAAGATTGGTTCATCTTATCGTGGTCACATGGCAGGGTCGGGTTTAGGATAGGTTAATAACAGCACCTGCATTTCGTTGTTCTTGTTACAGTTCTGATGCAAGTTACGTCAGGTAAGTCAAATTGACAGAATGATCATATCCAGAGAAACGGTCACTGTTGTTTCAATATTTAACAGTGTTGAACGCATACAATACAGAGGCAGTTATTGGCTCTTGATACTGAAATATGTTATGTTTTTATTTTGTTTGTTGTTTGGGAGCTTGGATTTTCACAAGATATCCTTGTGTTTAGTTGCAGAATGATAACATTTATTTTAATATTTTACATTTAGTACCTGATCCCTAAATGCCACTATAGTGTGCTTGTAGTGAAAACGTACTGATGAATTTCACTTTAAACAAAAATGTAAATCGAATAAAGTGAAATTCAGATCGCCAATCCTCATAATTTTACCTTAAAGTGAAATTCATCAGTACGTTTTCACTGCTAACAGACTATACATTCTTTTTTATTTATGGATATGGTCGCGGCTTGGCCGAACTTGTTAAGTGGATTAATTGCCACGAAAGAGATTAATTATTACTAAATGGATACCTCGAATTTACCAAATACCAAATGACATCTATGTGTTAACATTAACATGCATACATACGTCAGGTAAGTCAAACTGACATCATGATCATATCCAGAGAAAAGGTCACAGTTGTTTTAATGTTTTACAGTGTTTGAATTTATACAATACAAAGGTTATCATTGTCTCTTGAAAAGAAATGCTAATTATGCTTTTATGTTGTTTATTGTTCGGGAACTTGGATTTTTCACAACATATTCTTCTGTTTTAATATTTCATTTATGTCATTTTAATATTTTACATTTAGTACCTCATCCCTAATCTTTAAATGCCACTGAATTCTTTTATTAAGTGAATATGGACGCATCTTGAATGAACCTGTTAAGTGGACAAATTTGCATCGATGTCTTAACATTAACATACATACATACGTAGGTCAGCGCTACCGTTCTGTAAGCAGCTTTACATAGACGGTGGACGTGCGGCCAGTGCGTCATGCGAAGTTATTTCCCTTTGGCGTGCAAGAATCCTATAACCGTTGGTTCGAATCCTGTACTTTCCCTCCTTATGTTTCAAGGTTTGTCTGCAACATATCGGGAGATTCACAATCGTTGTTAACTTTCCTCAAACGTCAAACGTCAAACTCACACAACAGTCATCTATTTTCGGATAAGTTTTATTGTTAGAAATATGAAACTTTTGAAAATAGATACATTTGATTGTGTTTCAAAGAAACATTAGTTTTGCTTACTTTCAATTTCTTTGATTTCCAGGATGATTTGCCTTTTTGTGCTGACTTTCGCTTATGGTGCTCTAAGCGCCCCGACGTAAGTTACAATTATGTGAGAAGACTAGAACTGGCTAAAAATCAATAATTGGAAATATCGTCGATGGGAATCATTATTTGTTTACTGTCCATGTAGGTGTCGAAATGCTAATTATGTTGCTTACTGCACATGCAGGTGTCAGTATTCTAATTATGCCGTTTACTGTAGCAGGTGGGTGGCAGTACCCTAATTATGCTGTTTACTGTAGCATGTGGGTGTCAGTATTCTTAACGTGTTGGTTACTGCCCATGTAGGTGTCGAAATGCTGATTATGCTGTTTACTGTAGGATGTGGGTGTCAATATTCGAAAAGTGTTGTTTACTGTCCATGTAGGTGTTAGTATCCTAATTATGTTGTTTACTGTTTTATTTCTTTTAGAACTGCGCCGAACGTTAACGTGACGATAGGTCTCACGCAAGCCTTCGGCAGAATCGATAGTGATGGAAGCGGCACTGCTGATGTTTCAGAATTTCTGAAAGTTTTTGACAAGTATGATCTCAACGGTAGGTTTCTTTCAGATATTCTTTTGACGATTTATAATTTACAATTCATTGTTCCAAAACATATGGTTTTCACAATACACGAGACAATCTCGGTATCATATACTGTCACTCTTGCAAGCAATGCTTAAGGCCCAATTTGTCACTCTCCCCGTCGAGTGGAGACAAACGAAGAGATTGGAAACCTGGTCATCCCCAAGAACGTCACGGTATGTGTTGATGAGTGAGTGAGTCTAAGTTTACGCTGATTTTAGCAATATTCCAGCAATATCACTGCGAGGGACACCAGAAATAGGCTTTACACATTGTACCCAGGTGGGGAATCGAACTCGGGTAGACATCGTCGAGAGCCATCCAATCTATTAGTACTCATGCACCCAAATTCCTAAATGGCAACCTGGAAAATATGTACACGCTCGTCAAAAAATTGAAACCAGGCCATTTTGATTTGGAACCAAATTGCATAACAATCATGGCATAGTGGAATCTTTTGTTAATGAATATCATTAAATAAAATACGTCTTCCAATTTCAGATGATGGCAAGATGTCAAAGGCGGAGTACATAGCTAGTACTAACGCGCCGAAATCCTTTGCTGAAGCAGTTTTCAATAGTATTGACTCCGACCACGACGGTTTCATCCTGAGGACCGATGTAAAGAACGTCATCCCCGCGTTCGACACCGACGGTAATGAACCTTGACCTTCACTATGAACACATTGCATTCGAGATAGGCTGGTCAGATCGATATTCAGGATGTACATCACTTGATTGGCTAAGACCGGTGTGATGTTGCTGGAATAAGAGGGAATTAAAGAGAGAGAGAGAGAGAGAGAGAGAGAGAGAGAGAGAGAGAGAGAGAGAGAGAGAGAGAGAGAGAGAGAGAGAGAGAGAGAGAGAGAGAGAGAGAGAGAGAGAGAGAGAGAGAGAGAGAGAGAGAGAGAGAGAGAGAGAGAGAGAGAGAGAGAGAGAGAGAGAGAGATGTGGTCATTTTCCCCCTCAAAAGTCCGTCCAAAGAAGGGATGCACACATACGCTCACACACGCTCACACATACACACATACGCTCACACACACACACACACACACACACACACACACACACACACACACACACACACACACACACACACACACACACACACCGTCTTTTCTGAACCGTCACAAACGTTGGTTGCACCCCTGGCGAATCACGAATACAGATACAAACCCCTGTCATGGTCTTTTCAGGTGATGGCGCCGTCAGCCTCGCGGAATTCGTCACCAGGTACAAGCAGGTAGGTCATCATCGCATTCCGAACAAGGAAGCATTTTCACCTTCTTTAATTTTTTTGAAAACAAACCATTTCAGTGTTTAAGCTAGAAGATGAACAAGATCATACCAACAATTTTGAGGTCAGCCTAAGTACAAACAATTCCGTAATACAAGATTTAAAACAAGAAAACATAATATCACTCAGTGTGTTTGTTTGGACCCTGCGCTACTCGTAGAGAAAAGTGAGAGTGAGTGAGTGAGTGAGTATGGTTTTACGTGGCTTTCAGTGTTACAAGGGGGCGCTTCAACTGGTGACAAGTTATTTTTCTGATCCTTCAGCATGCAAAGTCAGGTATTTAATATTTGTGAGCGCATTTTGAACACTACTTATCAATGTTTTTCTTCTTCTAGATTTTCGCCGCGCTGCAGACCAGCCCGATTGGTAAATAAAAACTAGGAATATCAGTACATTGTTAATTTTTCTTTCTGACAAATACAAACATGTCTAAGCTGTGTCGTGTCCATTGTCCACCTGTAGGCGTAAGACGTACATGGACGAATGCATGGAAGCCATCGCGCGATCACTATCTATGCATGACCACGTGACAGAGTGATTTACTTCGGTGCATGCATGTATGATCAGTTATGGCTAAAAATAGCTAAAACATTACAATATCTCAACAGAACAACGAACCATTTTCAAGGTCCTGTTCGTCAGCGGCTGTGAAACGTGAAATGGACAAGTGTCCCATAAGGCAATTGCCTGATCCTACCAAATTTGCTAATATGTATGCATTACTCACAGAGTGTAAAAGACAGAGCAGCTGTATTCAATGGGATCCAATGTCAAGAGTTTCTTTTCTGTGTGTATGATGTTCACCCCTCACAATCACAAAGGTGGTTAAAATTACGGTTGCTTTCTGCAGCTTCCATAAAAAAGTTAAATCTAATGTATTTATAATTTTGGAACAGTGTTTATCAGGGATATTTATCTACATTCCCTGAGTTATGTAAATTGATATCTCTTACAATAATCACCTTGCTGTCAGTAGAAATGAAATCAACGCAGCTTGACCATTGTCGTCATGGCCACCATCATAGAGTCATTAGCTGCCTTTTCAAAGTTAGACAAAGGCCGGTTGGCCACTGTTCCAAGCATGGCATTGTGGATGAGGTGCGGGGTACTGCAAGCTGACCAGACATCTGTCGCAAATGTGACACGTGACAGTCTGATCAGGATTCGACCCTCAGGGACAAATAGAGAATGCTTTGTGTTAGTCAGGACTTGAGTCTGAGACCGCGGCTAGGCAAATTGGCTGACCATCGCCTCCCCAATGCCGCCTAGTCATTGTTACAACATCGTGTAGTTGTATATATATTGAATCATGAATAAAGTGTTGTGGACCCACTGATGGATTCCTGTATTCCAAGAGACAGTTACCTTCTTTAATCAGCCAGGGATACATATCACCAGCACAAATAAACTAAGTATACAGAGCACATAAAGCTCTACTAGCCGCTTTACAGAGCTCTTTAAAGGTCACATGCAACCCCCACAAAAAAACAACATAATTAAAACACAATTATCACTTATTCATGACATGTAATATACATTGCTGATTGTGAAAAAAAAAATAAACAAAATTATAAGTGTACAATCGCAAATCAAAAGTGCAACATTTGGTGCTTGGGTTTACTTCCCTCGAAACGAAGCACCCGGGAGACCGAACCCAATCAAAGAGGGTGTGTGCACTCAAGTGTAACGAAGTCTTTCATTGGTTGGTTCATTTGCCAATGCCCTCACGGCTCATTGTGTGTGTATATATAGAGATGTTGGGTTTTGTAAATACATGCTCATTTTTTCTGCCTTTGCATTCTGTCCAATCAACAAATACTGAGATGGTGAACTACTGCGTGGCAGGAAACTGTCATTCGTTCAAGTACAAAGCAGGCTTTCCGTCCGATCCAGTCATCCGAGAAATTGGATGCTGTTTGTTTGCAACCCACAGACATAATAACATGTCATATGTACAAGTATCACACCTGCTTGTCTGTGTAATTACATAATGTAACAGAACTCAGGTGCACGAGCCATAAATCAATGTATTTGTTTATGGTGTATAGTCTGATACGTTTCAAGTTCAAATTGCATGTGGTCAATGATTGAAGTTGTGTATTGCATATTGTCATTAGCAGACAAACAGGCGGACACATAGGTGTCCATAAAACAGACATTGAGTTTTGTCTGTGACAGAGACTGCTTATCACAATCAACATATTTTTTCTATGTTTCCATAGACATGTATTAAATCATTTCAGTTTTCAAGCTGAGCAATTTAAACAAAGAAATTAGTATTTCTAATGCTACACTTTCTTGAAATCTTGGTTTGCAAATCTGCCAACCCCCAAAAAGCAAGATGTGAAAACATATAAGAAAAAGTATGGGACCAGTGTATTTATATTACTGCAGACCAAAGATGCTTGTAATCACAAGGAACATCTTTTGTTCTCCACCTTCGACCACGGCGATAATCCTTGCACGCATCACTTGCTGTGTTTTTACTAGTCCCCTTCCTTGTTCAAGCCGCGTGAACCTAATCACTGCGCATGCGCTATGGGCGCAGCGCAGCACAGCGTTATTTTTCAACTTTATAAGTTGAATTTGCATTTTTGATAATTTGTTACTGTAAGTCCATACCGAAAGGTATCAGAATCTGCAAAGTTGTGTTTTGCGTTGCATGTGACCTTTAAGTTTTGTGTTTGTCCATATGTTCGTTTAAACACAAGACACGATAACGGTAAATACTGTCATACATGACAGGGTTATTATCACATAATTCATAACAAGATCGGGAGACAGATTTTTTTCTAAAATGTACAACTTTTGTTTTATCATTATTAATACTAATACGCCATTTGAAACACCAATTGCTAACTGTATCCATCATTTTCTGGAGCATTTGGTGCTAACAGTGCTAGGTCGTCAGCATATAACAGAATTGATAATATTTCATCATCAAGAGGTATACCACAGTCCATGTCTCTTATTCGGCTGCTAAGACGTTTATGTAAATGGAAAAGAGGGTTGGAGACAGTCTAAAGCCTTGTTTCACACCTTTTGTGACATTGTAGGAGTCAGTACCGTGGTCATTTACACGTACAGCACACGTCACATCTTGGTACAGGGGTTGAACGGCACTGAGCATCTTCTCATATACACCAATAGACATAAGCTTATACCATAAGCAGTTCCGGTCAACAGTGTCAAATGTGTGTTTTCAAACGTCAAGAAAACACACATGTGTAGATAATCCAGCTGCTCTTCTATTGTTGACCACATTATGTAATGTATATAAATGATGTATACAGTTCCGTTCTGATCTGAATCCGTTTTGTTCTTCACACAGCACGTTGTTATTTTCAAGCCATTTCACGAGTCTCGAGTTCAAAACATTGGCATATATTTTGCATGGTCTAGACATCAATGTTATTCCACGGTATGACAAAGAAATCCTTAGGAATTGGGTATATGAGGCCTTGGTTCCATTGTGTGGGTGAGCCAGAATGATTAAAACAATAACTAAATATTTCATACAACAGGTTGATGCAATATTGGTTTTGCAAAACCTCACCTGGTATACCATCCACGCCAACAGCCTTGCCTTTCTTGGTGTGTAAAACTGCCTGATGTACCTCCTCGTGCGTGATAGGCTTGTTGAGTTCATTTGTATCCACTTGCATGTGATCTGTACCGTTAGAATCACGATCGCACACTCTTCTGATCCTGGTCGAAAGTACCGTTATCCTCCTGGTTATAGAGCGTGCTGTACGAATCTCTCAGAATCAACCTCAGCACAGAATCAACCTCACAGTCAATATTACCATCACGTTACTCCATTTCCACTGGAATGACATTAAATGATCTTCTGTCATTTGCAAGACCGAGGCTACCAATTTTCTTCCAAAAATCTTTTCCATTCTAGCTGTTGTGTAAGCTTAACAGTTCTCTTTGTTGTTCTAGCTGCAGTTTACGCTTGGCTTTCCTTAACCGTTCATCAAAGGCTTTTCTCTTTTCTCTCACATAGATATGTAGACTTCAACAGACGTTTTTGTTGAGTATTTCCTTTGCAAGGCAATCATTTCTTCTCATCTTCACATACACTGTTTCATTTGGATTGAAGTTCATCTGACCAATATGCTTATCTTCTTTGCACATGTTTGTTACCACACATTTTGGTCCAGTGGTTTATCTTCTTCAGCTTACATGCCATCTCGTTATGAATGAACTCATTCAGAGAGTTACCAGAGGAAGTTTGGGACCGTTCATAATTTATGGCTAGGGTAGGGGTTGGGGTGTGTGTCCGGGGGTGGGGTACGTGGGTGGGTGTGTGGGTGGGTGGGTGATGATGATATTCATGGAGAAGCATGTACAATGTGAATGACCCCTCCCTCCCTAAAATTTATGTACAAAGTAAGTGACCCCGCCCTGCATGTCATGTACAAAATCAATGACCCCCTACCTCCCCATAATTTTTAAGCATAATTTTTTAATATTTCTATGTACAAAATTGCTGACCCCCCTAGTACATGTGTACAAAATTACTGACCCCCCCGCCTCCCAAGAACAAAATGGGTGACCCCCCTTAAAATCATCTTCACCCCCCTAGCCATAAATTATGAACGGTCCCTTACGTCATTTTCTTCAGTTAGTGCTTTTTCGATCTTTTTAATGGTTTCCTGTAGTAAAAGCAGAGAAGCGTCGTGGTTCTTGCAACTTTCAGGCAACGATGAGACGTGATATTTGTATTATGACTATAATATTGGCACGATCTGGAAGCAGTTTTTGGCATAGTGGAAAGAGCATTTAATGTCATATCTAATAAGGAATGGCCTGGAACACTGCTGACTCCTACTTGTTGCGTACTTTTTATGACGTCAGACATCAGAATCACATTGAAATCAGACACTTCATTTAAAACTTCATGTAGCACAATGAAGTAGTCCACAACAGCTCTGCCCCTATGCGGGACAGAGGTAAAGTTATCACTCCCCACTCTGCCTTTAACAACACCAATATTGCAGTCATTTAGAAAGCTCAGTAGCAGTTGCCCTGATGAGTGTATTCCTTCATCCAAAACAGTTCTAGTTTTGACATTATCGACGCCTTCAAAATAGTCAGATTCCTCTCCAATCAATGCATTAAAATTACCAGCTAACACGATTTTGCCCAAATTTTGGAGTCATAGATGTGCTCAGTCAAAGTAGTGAACATCTGACGATCACATGATCTTGTTGATCCAACCGGAGGCACATATGTCACACCAACGCACAAACTATCGTCTGCACTTCCGTTCCCTATCAGTAGCCACAGGATATCCTCATGTTCGTCATTTAGAACTTCATCTTTATATTTAGTTGTGATATACCTCTTGACAAATATTCCTACACCTCCAGAACCACGTTTTACATTAGCATGTAGTCTAGTTCTATTATTTCCATACCAGACATAACCCTCCAAATCAATTGAATCACAGTTACGTAAAAACGTTTCACACACAAACTATATCATAGTAATAACATGTTAAATTATGCTTTCTTAATTGTTCATTTTCTACTTCTTTTCGAGACCAACATCCGACGTTCCATAGACCAAGCCTCACTCCCTAAGGCCGCGTTGACCTTATGTTCCGCTTGGGTATGAATCCTTTACTGTTCACGGTGTAGACGTTGCACTTTCCCATCTCCCGGAGGAGTGTCCTCATGTTGTTGTTGTTCGCCCTCCGTCGTCGTACAGTTCTCTATGTACACATCTGTATACTTGCAAGAGTCCTTCGGTGAAGCTTTAGCCTTCATGATCTTAGTCTTAGTGCCCACTGAGTCGAGAGCAAAAACTAATCCAGGGTATTTACCTCTGCGTTTCTTTCTCTCCTCCTTTGTGACGTCAACGGCCCGGAGCTTCAGGCCGTCCCGTAGTAAAGCGTAGTTCACCGTTACAATCGAGTCTTTATCCTCGTCCGTGTGAAAAGTCAGATCTTTTATTACCACTGACCTCGCCCTGCTGTCATCGATATTTTCGTTGTTTACTTAAGAATTGAATGTCAGTTTGTGTGTTTGCACTGAAAAATGAACGATGTCAAAGCGGTGTTCAAACTCGTGTGAACGAGCGAGTTTACGAGCGAGTTCACGCGAGAGTTTGAACAACGCTTTGACATCGTTCATTTTTCAGTGCAAACACACAAACTGACATTCAATTCTTATAATTTCGCACTTTGAAGTTTACACATACGTTTTCCACCCACTTGTAGATGATCATTGTTTAGTGTGTTTTAATACCTGTAAAATGTTGTAATGCCATTCGGTACGTACGTATTGCAGCGATGTTTGTATACACAGCGATTTTTTTACACATGTATCCCAACCCTTGAAGAAATAGTTCTCAAAGTATTCGATCTTTAAAATATAACAACAAATTCGTTATGAGGTTTGAAACTGCTTTAATAAGTATAATCAATAACAGTATCAAACAGAAACAAATATCAGAAGCAATAACAATACCATTTTAACAAACTGGCATTGTACCTTTTCACTTGTAAATACCTTGTTTGACCGCGTAATAATACACTGACCGACTTCGAAGTTGTGCGGCGTGGCGAATAGGAAACAGATCTTGTTGTATTCTATTTATTTGTGATTGTTTATTGTGAAATTTATTGAGCAGTTGTTTAACAGACCTCGGGGCAGAAAACCGCCGGATGAACCCGCAAACTGCGAGACATTAAACTCCTGTGAAAAGGAACAACGTTCGGCAATCCGTTTGGTAGTGACATTGCCAAACTTGGGGTGACTTGAAACAGGTTCGTTCGCGAAATTGGTATCACCAATTATTGGGGGTCCTTGAAACCGAAGCGAAAAACGTTCACACACGTATGAACGGTGTTTACACAAGTATGAACGATTAGAGGGGTTCAAGAGTAATGAACCTTGAAATTTAGATCACATGACCGCTCTCTCAACCAACCAACGTTCGGGAATCTGTGTAAACTTGAAAGCACGAAATTATTGCGTCTTGAATGTCACCTTGACTTCATCATTACTGGGGCGCTGGGGTAGCCTAATGGTTAAAGCGTTGGCTCGTCACGCCGAAGAACCGGGTTCGAATCCCCACATGGGCACAATGTGTGAAGCCCATTTCTGGTGTCCCCCGCCGTGATGTTGCTGTAATATTGCTAAAAGCGGCGTAAAACCAAACTCAATCAGTCAGTCAGTCATCATTACTGCTGTCAGGATTCAAAACGCCGGCTTGTCCGCCATCTTGTTTTGGCGACTCTGTATTTTCATCTGTGTTATCCGAGCTTTTCATCTTTTTCGAATGAATCTTCTTGTTTGGTTTCACAATCACCTTTCCCTTCTTTTCTCGTTCTTTTACGATCCCTTTTGTCCTCATGAACTTGTCTTCTAATCGAAGTATTTGCCATTACAGATTCCACGAAGTCAGTGTAGTTCAACCCATCACACATCTTCCTAAAGCTCAAATATATTGGCACAAATTGCATATTGTTGAGTTGCCGGAGCTAATGGAACTCACCAGGCGGGTTGAATTAGTCAATTTACGGCCTCAATACAATGAAGTTAGACACTTTTTTTCAAATTCTTTTCACTTAACCTCCACTTTAATACAGGATGAGCATCGACTTACGCAAGTTGGATACGAAGACATTCCATTCTTGTCCACCAGCACAACATGGTGGTGAGAAATCTAAACAGGTGAGATCGACTTCAAACCGGTAACGCAAGTTGCAAACGCAGGTTTGCAAAATCCCAAAAGTGTTTTCACTTTACCAAAGAAAGATATATTTTGTCACTAACTTCCTATCTAATGCTGACACTATTTTCATAGTGAACAACATTTTCTGTGATATCTGCACGGAATCCGATTTGTTGTAAGCGAGCAACTTTAGTGCGGCAAAAATAAACACGTCAATGCAGTTGATATCACTAAAATGTTTGCTGTAGCAAAACGGGTTGGCCTTGTGGGTTCATACCCCAACACCTGTAGTACCAACTAAAGCCTCTCTGCCAACATGACACACATTTGCAGACTAGCTGACTTGTGGGGACGTATCCCAACATCTATACTACGAGTTAAAGTCTCACTGCCAACATGACACACAGTTGCAGACTAGCTGACTTGTGGGGACGTATCCCAACATCTGTACTACGAGTTAAAGCCTCTCTGCCACATGACACACAGATGCAGACTAGCTGACTTGCGGGGACGTATCCCAACATCTGTACTACGAGTTAAAGCCTCTCTGCCACATGACACACAGTTGCAGACTAGCTGACTTGTGGGGATGTATCCCAACATCTGTACTACGAGTTAAAGCCTCCCTGCCACATGACACACAGTTGTAGACTAGCTGACTTGTGGGGACGTATCCCAACATCTGTACTACGAGTTAAAGCCTCTCTGCCACATGACACCCAGTTGCAGACTAGCTGACTTGTGGGGATGTATCCCAACATCTGTACTACGAGTTAAAGCCTCTCTGTCAACATGACACACAGTTGCAGACTAGCTGACTTGTGGGGACGTATCCCAACATCTGTACTACGAGTTAAAGCCTCCCTGCCACATGACACACAGTTGCAGACTAGCTGACTTGTGGGGACGTATCCCAACATCTGTAGTATGATGTAAAGCCTCTCTGCCAGAATGATGACACACAGCGGAGGCGTTGGAATGATGTAATCTGTCTCACCGGATAGAAACGTCGTAATTGTATTTCAAGACTTTATACTAAGACTTTACATTGCTGGCAAGTTATTGGAATTGATAACATTTCTTCAGACACAGAGAAGAAAGCATGTCAAGCATTTCAACCATTATATAATTATTAAATTAAGATCCATATTTATCACTATACCAATACAGCGATAATATTTGCACAAGTCTCGAGGTAAATACCTGTATATATGTTGTAATATATTCTTCAGATACTCCGATAAGGATCACTTGTGCAAAGTTTACTTATGGGAGATGCCAGCTTGTCTTTTCTAAGCTTGGTTCATCTTATCATGGTCACATGGCAGGTTCGTCTTTAGGATAGGTCAATAAGAGCACCTGCATTTCGTTGTTCTTGCTGCAGTTCTGTTGCACGTTACTCGGGTAAGTCATATTGACAGCATGCTCATATCCAGAGAAACGGTCACAGGTGTTTTAATGTTTAACAGTGTTTTCAATTTCTAAAAATACAAAGGTTACCATTGTCTCTCGGTATGATTTTATGTTGTTTATTGTTCGGGCACTTGGCATTTTGTCAAAATAGTCCTGCCATTCATCTGCAGAATGATAACAATAATTTTAACATTGCACATTTAGTACATGATCCCAATCGTAATATGGCATAATGTTCTTTTGACTATATTGAGTGGATATGGAGCTTTCGTGATGTAACCTGTTAAGTAGATTACTTGTAACAAAATGGATAATATTTAATTATAGCTAAACGGATACCTCGATTTTTCCAAATACCAAATTACATCGATGTGTTAACATCAACATATAGAAAATCTCACCCGAGTGTCTTTTGGTATGAACTATATCACCACGAGTTTTTTTTATCTGAGGCTTGCCGAGGATATTTTTACTTTTATCAACGAGTGTTGATATATTTGATATCAGAAGACACGAGGGGGGAGATTCTATTTATCATCAAAATTCACTCTTCTGTAGTTTTAAATGAAACATGTACATCTCTGAACACGGTACGACCATTAGACTTGCAGTACAGCGATGTCATAGCATTGTGGCGTCAGCAAGTTCAAGACGTCATAGCTTTGTCAGGGTATTGTACAAAATCTACTGTAAAAACGATATCTCCCAGGAGATATCGTTAGATCTCACATGAGCTATATATCCTGTGGAACACAGTTTTGGATGATAAACATACAAACTTACGTCAGCGCTTGCGTTCTGTAAGCAGCTTTTCATATACTGTATATATACGAGGGAAAGAGCGGCCAATGCGTCATGCGAAGTTATTTCCCTTTAGCGTGCCAGAATTCAATGATCGTAGGTTGGAATTCTTGAATTTCTCCCATTATGTTTCAAGGATTGTCACCTTTAAAGATCCGCGTTAGAATCAATCTTCACAGACCCATACTTGTCGTAAGAAACGACTAACAGGATCGGGTGGTCAGGCTCGCTGACTTGGTTGACACATGACATCGTATCCAAGTTGCGTAGATCGATGCTCATGCTGTTGATCACTGAATTGTCTGGTCCAGACTTGATTATTTACAGACCGCCGCCATATAGCTGGAATATTGCTGAGTGCAGAGTAAAACTATTTTCACTCACTCAATGTTTGTCTGCAACATATAGGGAGATTTACGATAGTTGTTAACCTTCCTCAAACGGCAAACTGACGATCCATTACGTCATTGAAATACTGTTCCAACTAACAAAACGTGTTTACAGGTATTTGTTATTCCAAAAATATCAAACTTTTGAAAAAGGTCATCTTTTCTTTAGATGCGTTTAATTGTGTTTCGAAGAAACATTCGTTTTGTTTTCTTTCCATTTCTTTGATTTCCAGGATGATTTGCCTTCTTGTGCTGACTTTCGCTTACGGTGCTCTAAGCGCTACCGCCCCAACGTAAGTTCCTGTTGTGTGAGAAGACTAGAACTGGCTAAAAATCGATAATTGGAAATATCGTCGATGGGAATTATTATTGACGATTAGCGATAAGGAAACTGTGTAATCGAAAATATCGTAAATGAATTATTGTGATGAAATAATGTTTAAGTTTACACAGAAAATACACAAAGTTAAGTCTATGTTCATAGACTGCTCCTAAAGTAGGTTGAGGACGGCGTTTATGTTGGTAATCCAAGGCTTACCGCCGATATTTATCGATAATCGATCGATATTCATTAAACAATTATGGATCTCTATGATCTATATCGATAGCCAGCCCTATTTATTTAAAATTTCAGTCGTTTTTGTTCAAAAATACTTCTTCGATATTTATCGATAATCGATCGATATTCATTAAACGATTATCGATCTCTATGATCTATATCGATAGCCAGACATTAATTAGATATACAAAAGCAAAGCACATTTCAGTTGCGGCGAAACGTATGTTTGACGTTCCTGGATTAAACTCATTCAGTCGAATATTTCAAGAACAAAAGCCTCCGGTAATTTCTATAACAATTTGTCGATCACAAAACATGTAGAGACATTGTGTGTAGAGCTTGCACTTGTTCTTATTTCTTAAGAAAACAAACTTAATGGAATAGAGGATCAACGTTTATGGTCGACTATCAAGACTAACAATTCTGAGCAAAGTAACTCCGGATATATCGAACTCCAAAGATACACCACCAGTTCGTTGTACGTCATAAATATATTTGCTATTTCTTTTAGCATTAGGGGCGGTGGGGTAGCCTAGTGGTTAAAGCGTTCGCTTGTCACGTCGAAGACAAGGGTTCGATTCCCCACATAGGTACAATGTGTGAAGCCCATTTCTGGTGTCCCAGTGCCGTGATGTTGCTGGAATATTGCTAAAAGCGGCGTAAAACCTTACTCACTCACTCTGTTAACATTAACGCTCAACACCAGTTTGTCATTTGAACTATGTTGGCAAATACTCGTGATATCCATCTTCGTTACTTCGCAGTTGGCTGTAGTATCATTTAAAACAAAGTTATGTAAACATTACATACATTTGGAGATCACCAATAGTTCAAAACCCCCTCCAATAAAACAATAATTTATTGCATTTCTCCCATAGTTGAGACTCCAAAGTGATAATAATTTACTATCCATTATTATCGCACGATTTCATGACCCTTACATAACTTACGTAAGCAGGTTCAATTTCAGTTGCAGGTTAAGGTTACACAAATTTATGCAAGAACAACTTTATGTCTAAATGTTACATTTTGTGTTTGAAAAGGAACGTTGTGAAATGTTGCTTCATATTCAGCAAAATTAATTATCAAATGTTTTATCGATAAAATCGCCCCTCTAAGTTTGTGTAACCTTAACGTAATTATCCTTATTTCGCAGAAAAGAAAACAAACAAAGTCACAGATCTTTAATGAAAATTCAAAATTTTACGGAAAAGGTCGTTCCGTCACCCAGTTTCATTGTAAAATCGCGTGTTTGCGTTATTGGCTTGGTGTCTGCATCCGATTTTCTGGTCACATCGTGGGTGCAGGGGGCCGTGTCACTGGAGTTGGCGGTAGTGGCAATGGCAGTGGCAATGGCAGTTGACTTGGTGGCAATAGTGTTGCCTCGTTTCCGCTGAACAATAGAATCCACTGTAGCGGCCAATTCTGTCGATGTCCTCTAGTAAAGAAAATGAATGAAAACATGTATGTCAAAGTGACAATGATATTAATTTTGTTCATTAGGAAAAGGGTAGTGCAAAGAGAAAAACTGTCTTAAACTCAATACTTTTTAGTTACAAAATTGTTGAGGTTAAGAATGGTAAATCAAATTAAGGCACTTTTGTACGACTATTGATAGCATTTTGGAAGTATTAGTACGTACACACATGCATATTTAAGCTTCCCTTTAATGAAAATATTGGAGTTTTTATTATTCGTTAGAAATTTCCTGTGATACAGAGAGTATACACGTAGGCTTCGCTAATCGTAATATACTGTATTGTTCCTTGCGTCATATTTATTACCGTAATTGAATTCGTAGATGTATTGAATATTTACCAATAATTACCTCTTAATAACTTCTGATTGCAACCGATTTGTGGTCGGTCTTTTCCGACATTAGTTGCTCGTCAACGTCCTTGTCATATAGCCTGGTAGCTGTGGTGGCTCTGAGTGAGTGGTCTGTGTAGTATCCGGGGAACCAAGCGGTTTTACAGAGACGACTTATGGTGGATCATAACGGGTGAATACCAACAGGGGCGTCAGCGTACCACACGTTGTCGACAGGGTACCGTAGCGGTCTCAGGTAGAAGGCACTGCACTTACCATTTGGTGGTCTGAAAATACAACAAATCATAAATTGGTGGTCATTTCACAAATATATATTTGAGATTTTAAGCGGTTTTGAACAGAGCATGAATAAACCGTATCAATACCTGTGAAACACTCGGAGATTATCTTTAAGTTTCGTTTAACAAGTCCAAAAGTTGCAACTGCATGCCCAAACAAAGTGATCATATGAATTTGCATACCCATTAAAAGATGAGAAGAAAGAAATGCATAATTAGCTTAGTGACAAATACTTTTGGTATAGCATTACAAGGCATCGTTTCGGGTTTTCGTCATTGCTTGATATCGTGACTACTTTCCTGTCGACTTTTCTGCGTGTAAGCCCTCTTCTTTTTGTTTTGGACACATCTTCTGTATATCTGAGTTGGTTGGGTCCTGAATCTTTGGGGAATATCAATGTAAGTTGTGAGTTCACCCCACAGCGCAAAAACCTGTGCTCGTCTCCAGCCCGGAGTGCGAAGTTCATCCCTATGAGATACAGTAGAGTGTCCAGTAACTGCTGAGGGGTGTCTTCCCCCAATAGTCCTCTTCTTCACAACTCATCCTCCTGTGCCTCCGTGATGATGCTTGCCTGCCGACGCTCAATCCCAATACCCTGACGAGCCAGGATTTTCATTTTCGCATCTAAGACTTCCCTCATATCTTTCAAGTATGGTGAATCAATAAAGTTTATATCAATACGGTTTTTTTCTGAGGGGATATTGGAGAGCTGTGATTATTTCATACAAAGTATTCCCCCGATACTGTTCCCCTTTTCGATTTTTGACTTCCGTTAAGAACAATATCAAAATCTTGTTAAGAGCCATTTCGTTTGACGCAAGAGGTACAATATCTTGATGTTGGAGTGGGACATCTAGGTTTCTGAAAGGGGGGTGCCAAAACGAAATTCTTCTTTCTTTTCAGATTCAAGTTTAGAAACAGCATTTGGCAAACAGCTCGATGTAGGTTCTGATTCCAGTGGCATAAATTCCCCACTTTTCCTCCAATAATTGACTGGCTAAAAATAACTCTGACTCGATACAGGCTTTTATACCGATAACCCTCCAATATTAGTGCACCGTTTCAGCGGATTGAAACAGCTACCGGGAACAGTAGTGAAGTAGTGATGCTAGGGCGACATCGCTAAGATGTCAGTACAGTACAACTGATATACAGACGAAATCAAAGAAAATATTGTTTAAAAAAAATATATCATATCTCGGCATTTTAGTATATGCACATAATGATTTATATTCATTGCTCATGTGAGGTTTAACGTCGTGCTTGAGAATATTTCGCTCATATGACGACGTGCATGCGTGTGTGTGGGTATGTGCAGCTGCTTGTACTAGCCCAGACTGAAGCTGGTTTTATAGTGCTAGCTCACTGAGATACCATGCCGCAGTGAAACATGAATACCCCACTCAGACACATTATACTGACCCCGAGCCGACCAGTCCTTGTTGTATCCATTAGTGCCGAGCGCCAGGCAGGGACCAACAAGTACCATATTTTAACGTCTTTTGGTATGACGCAGTCGGGGATCGAACACGCGGCCTTCCTCTCTGGGCGGACGCTCTAACCACTACACCACGGAGGCGGGCCATTGCTCATGTAACTGCGTTGACTATCATAACCTCCAATATTAACGCACGACTGCGACCTGTAAGATTTTGCTCAGAGCTCATATTGGACGGTACTTTGTTTTAAGTAGGAGAATGTCCTCAAACACTCGATTAGTTGCGCACGTGGAGCAGGTTCTACGGCCTCGAACCTGCTTCACGTGCGCAACTAATGGAGAGTTTTTGGACATTCTCCTATACTTAGAATGGTACGCCGATAGGACATTTCTACGATATACCCTAAGCAGAAGCCTTATCATACCATGCTATGCCTTGATGTACCTGTGAAGGTCCGGGTTAGAATTGATCTTCAGAAACCCATGCTTGTCGTAAGAGGTGACTAAAGGGATCGGATGGTCAGGCTCGCTGACTTGGTTGACACATGTCATCGATTCCCAATTGCGCAGATTGATGCTCATGCTGTTTCGATTATGATCAGCGTTTCATTGAGTATTTTATGTTTATTAGTTTTCGAGTTAGATTGCAATTTATCGGTCCGCTTTTGAGTCAAACGGACTATAAGCTGTTTACTGTTTAATTTCTTTTAGATATGCACCGAATTTGGCGACAGGTCTCAAGGAAGCCTTCGACAGCATCGATGCCGATGGAAATGACATTCTGGATGTGTCAGAGTTTAGGAAGATTTTTGCCGATTATGATCTCAACCGTAGGTTTCGTTCAGAGATTCTTTGCAGACTTAAACTAACGGGCAACAGATACGATACCAAGTCGAAATCACTGACATAAGAAAACGACAAGCCACCATTGTGAAAAAAGGATAGTGAATTTTAATAACGGGTGTATGTATGAACTAAATTGCATAACACTCACAGCATAGCTTCAGATAGTTATAATGTTTTCGCTATTGACTATCATTAATTAAAATATGTCTTTGAATTTCAGAGGATGGCAGGATGGAATTGGCCGAGTACATGAGTACTAATAATGTGACGAAAGCCTTTGCTGAAAAGGTTTTCCAGCCTTTCGACACCGACCACGACGATGACCTCCAGGGGGCTGAATTAAACAACGTCATCCCCGTGTTGGACACCAACGGTAATGAACCTTGACCTTGACTATGATGAACACGTAGCCTCGCGGTGAACAGGTTTTCTTCAACCCATGCTTGTCATGAGATGCGACATTCGAGATAGAGAGAGGCTTCATCAACCCATTCATTTAAGTTACCCTACCGTCCCCACAGAATCAGGTTTACAAACATAAAACCCAAACAAACCCATGTCATCATCTTTTCAGGTGATGGCGAGGTCAGCCGAGCGGAATTCGTCACCGAGTACACGAAGGTAGGTCATCACTGCGCTCCGAACAAGGAGGCATTTTTACCTTTTTAAAACAGTAGTGACAAACGAAACAATTCATTGTGTTTAAGCTAGACAAGTCCATATTTACAATTTTGAAGTCAGTCTTTGTACCAACAATTTCGTAACACAAGATTGAAAAAAATATAATTTGTTCGGACCCTGTGCAACGAGTAGAGAAAAGTATGGTTTCACACCGCTTTTAGCAATAATCGAGCAATATAACAGCGGGGGACACCAGGAATGGGTTTGACACGCTGTACCCGTGTGGAGAATCGAACCTGGGTCTTCAGCGTGACGAGCGGGTGCTTTAACTATTAGGCTAACTCACCGCCGCTAATAGTTCGATAACGTACTATAACGCCCTAAATGAAGTTACAGCGTTTCGTGACGTCATCTTATAGAAACGTTAATCACGAGAAATACATAAAGACTGAATCATACGCACACACACACGCACGCACGCACGCACGCACCATACCAAAAGACAGGTATCTAATCATTTCCACCCATGACACGTTATTTTTCTGCTCCTTCAACATGCAAAGTCAGGTATTCTGTATTTGTAAGCGCAATTTGAACACAAGCTATTAATTTCAATCATTTTTTTCTTTTCCCAGATCTTCGCCGCGCAACAAACCGGTCCTCCTGTTGGTAAATAAACACATTAGCAACAGTATAATGTTATTTTTTCTTTTGGCAAACACAAACATGTCTAAGCTGTGTCGTGTCCATTGTCCACCTGTAGGCGTAAGATGTAAATGGCCGAATGCATAGAAGACATGGCTCGATCACGATCTACAGTCTACTTCGGCGTATGCTTGTCGCATTATCAGTTACACATAAAAATAGCTGAAACATTAGAACAGAACAACGAACCATAACCAACGCCCTCTGTGTCAGCGGCTGTGAAACTTTTTGCGTGCAACCACCAAATTTGCTAGGTATGTGTTCATTAGGGTAATAGACAGCAGGTGTAGTCAATGGGATCGAGGATCAAGTGTTTCGTTTCTGTTAGTATGATGCTTACCACGCTCTCAGGAATATTCCAGTTATAAGAATGTGGGCGTTAAATGATGCAGGATGGTCACTCCAGTGATTGATATCATGAGCGTCGACTTACGCAAATAGGATACGACATTCCATTCAACACAACATGGTGGTGAGAAATCTGAACGGCGGTCTGTAAACAATCGAGTCTAGTAGAGTGATTTATCATGTTATATCGAAATACTCTTAAAAAACGTATGGGGGTAATCGCAAATACTTCAAAATTTCAGAATTTAACAAATTAGGAAGAAGTTTATGACGTATGGCAGTAGGTATCATAGTGAGTGAATTTAGTTTTACGCCGCACTCAGCAATATTCCAACTATATGGCGGCGGTCTGTAAATAATCGAGTTTGGACCAGACAATCGAGTGATCAAAAGCATCAGCATCGATCTGCGCAATTGGGAACCGATGACATGTGTCAACCAAGTCAGCGAGCCTGACCATCCGATCCCGTAAGTCGCCTTTTACGACAAGCATAGTCGCCTTTTATGACAAGAATGGGTTGCTGAAGACCTATTCTACCCCGGATCTTCACGGGTCGTAGGTATCATAACCACCGACAGAAGGACGATATGGATAAGATTTAAAAGACAGAATATAGTACGCAATACGCACACGATTTCTCAAACATTCATTTATGTGACGAAATAAACTGGGTATGAATTTCCTAGTGGAAATATGGAGGAGTCTGTCCCACTCCTCATGAAGCGCACTACCGAGGTCAACAGCTTGTTGATGCACACGACCACCCTATTATGTCCCAGACGTGTTCAAGCGGTTAAAGGGGCGGTGGGGTAGCCTAATGGTTAAAGCGTTGGCTCGTCAAGCCGAAGACCAGGGTTCGAATCCCCACATGGGCACAATGTGTGAAGCCCATTTCTGATGTCCCCCGCCGTGATGTTGCTAGAATATTGCTAAAAGCGGCGTAAAACCAAACTCAGTCAGTCAGTCAAGCGGTTAAAAGTCTGGGTCCATTGCTGATTATGGCTTTCTGTGGATTTTGTGCTGATACAGATGAACTCGGACGTTGGAGTCTGATTCACGGAAGAGTGTCAGTATTTTGTTTCGATCGCGCTATTGCGTATCACACGCCCGTCGACGTCCGCTTGTACGCAACAGCATGTATGCTTTAACCTCTACCCTGTTTCATCTAATCTTGACCTTTGTGACAGAGGTCGATGACACTTATGCACTTATCTTTAAGGTCAGTGAAAGTCCTGTCTACTGAGGCAAGGGCACTTATTATAGGAAACATACAGAAGTTCTCAGTGAAGTCTTACTTTCGTCGATGTATATCTTATCAGCGTCTCGTGTCATGCTTTCAGACATGGGATTGGTCTTCAGACGCTTATCTTTCAGATTTATAGTAACGTACACCTGGCGAAGGACATGTAACTATCATGCGTCATATCTACTGTTAGCGTTACCAATAAAAATTGCGTTTAGTGAAACCCATTGGAACTGCTCAAAGTACTCGTACTAAGCAAAAATATTCACATGTGGATTGCTATTCACCCAGAATATAAACCTTTGCACAATAATAAAAAACAAATGCTTCATGTGCAATTCATTATCCATTTTGAAAATTCTGATTAATACTTAGTCAAGTAGTGTTCACTTATGCCTCATCACCATGTAACCAAGAAAACAGGAGAAGAAGACGAAGAGAAGAAGAAGAGGAGTGGAAACGGAGATGAAGAAGAAGAAGACAAAAAAGCGGAAGCAGATAGCACCATTCACAGTCCCTTTTATCCCTGCATGCTTACATAAGTAGGCAATAGTTTCTGTGAAAATTGTAGACATCAGTCCTTTCTTTGCAGTGTATAAATAGAAGTACGAAATAAAAGCTCTAGCACCAAAAACAAACCTTGCCTCCTATGAAGTTGTTGCCTTTGAAATTAAAGCCAAATATGTAATTTTAGGTCAGCAATGTACTGGTACACTATAATACTGAATAAATTAGGAGTTATGCTGTTGATACGAAAAACAGCTCCCCTCTACGATAATCGTTCAGTTGAACATTGGATTTACCTGTAAAGTTAACTTTGAAGAAAACGCGGACTACCACTTGCCTTTAGATTTACACAATTATATAGACCCGTGAAGATCCGGGTTAGAATTGATCTACAGTAATCCACTGTAGACGACTAACGGGATGAGGTGGTCAGGCTCGCTGGCTTGGTTGACACATGTCATCGGTTCCCAATTGCGCAGATCGATGCTCATGCTGTTGATCACTGGACGGTCTGGTCCAGAGTCGATTATTTACAGACCGCCGCCATATAGCTGGAATATTGCTGAGTGCGGCGTAAACTAAACTCACTCACTCACATAATTATATCCTTACTTCAATTTACCGTTTTTAGTACCACGTCAAAATACGACAGATGCAGGACAATACAGTATCACTTTCCCAATACACACGTAACATTGGTTGGTTGGTTGTTGTTTAACGCCGCAATATTGCAGGTATATGTTGGCGGTCTGTAAATAATCGAGTCTGGAACATACAATCCATTGATCAAAAGCATGAGTATCGATCTACGCCTGACCACCCAATCCCGTTATTCGCCTCTTACGACAAGCATGGGTTACTGAAGATCAATTCCAACCCTGATCTTCACGGGTACACACGTAACAATGGACTCAGTCACACGCCTCACATAGTCGTCCAAAGTGACCAGTCTTCATTGCTCCGGGTGGCTGGCTTTCATTAAGTGAGAAATATGTATGGGTCATTTGTTTCACACAAAATGACTGTATTACCCAAATTTACTAACGTTAGAAAATATACGTTTCATCCGGCGGCCATATGAACGTTTGAAATCTACGTATCATCTGGCCGGCAGATTTACACACGTTTTAAGGGGTGTTAAAATAAACGAACACTCAACTCTGAAACTATTTCACAAACAACATTATGTTGATCCAAAAAACATTAATCAAATTTTATCCCAACCACTATGGTTCAATCACAACCTCAAAAACTCTAAATATTTTATAAAGAAGTGGGCAGAGAAAGGGACTATGAATATTAGGGATATATGTGATGAGAATGGTTTACTATCTGACTTTGATTGGAAAATATATTTACAGTATATAGAAAGGGATTGCAAGATACAAAGCTTATAGACTTTCAATATAGATTTCTACAAGGTATTATTTACACAAAAAAGGAATTGGTCAAAATGAAAAAAATTGACAACAGTTTGTGTTGTTTTTGCAAAGATGTAAATGAGAGTGTGTGTCATGTGTACTGGGAATGTACTTGGATAAACCTACAAATTTGGCTTAACAATTATTATCCACATCCGTTGAAATTATCAAATAACATGATTTGGTTTGGTACTCAACATGAAAATAGATTACTAAATCACATCATCATTGCTGCAAAGAGACATATTCACGTATGCTGTATTAAAAATATGCTTCCAAATCTAACTTTCTATATAAAAACTCTAAAAGAAATATTCTTTGTGGAAAAACATATATCAGCTAAAAATGATAAAATAAATAATTTCCATCATAAATGGAGCCTTCTCTCCCCAGTACTTAGATGACTTGAACTGTATTGACTTGTACCTGACATTATCGGTACATTATCTATTTAATGAATTATGCATGTTTATAAATATATTAATACAAAAATATCTCACCTGTACATCTGTACATTATCAATTTAATGAATTATGCATGTCATTAATATATTATTACAAAAATATCTCACCTGTACATCATGTAGCCATATTACTTTAAGCCGTACGTATCACGGCTTGGTATATCTGCAATATTGTAATCTTGGGAACAACCCCCAAAAAAAACCAACTCTGTATTTACATATATTTCACAGGTGTGTAAATCTGGCCATTGTTTCCATGTGTTTTCTAGCATGTGTAACATATGTAAATGCTGTGATTGTAGGACATGCCTTTTAATACCTTTGAAATCTCGTATGACCAGAGTTAGGTTTGTCATATATTTAGTGCACGCGTAAATGGTTGGTAATGGGTAAATATAGTGTTACAAGATTAACACTACTTTAACATGTATTTCAATGATTCTGTAATGTAACTGTCACATAGAGTTCGTTAGCGCGTCCGACCAAACGATAATGTACTGAGAAAATTAGAAACACATGGTGAGGTGATACCCATGACTGAGCACAACTATTAACGTGCCTGCCTTTCTTGACATACACATGATGTCTGTTGAAAAGGTTCAAATATTGGGTTTATGGGCCAGAGCGATATGTATGTTAGGGAGTGTGTGTGTGCATGTTTGTGAGAGGGAGAGGGTGTGGGATGGGGTAGGCCTAGGGTGGGGTGGTGGCGGTTGGGTACTGATAAGCCTTTCTGATCAGTAGGTAATACCGTTTATACTTTTTAAATGGAACTTACATTATAGTTTAAATAATGTAACCTTAGGTACACTTCTTATATATGACATACAAGGAGATACTGCTTATTGCAATAAAACGCAGACAGGTGTGTTCACACAGACATGAACCGGTAGGTCCCTAATGTTAGTGCACACTTGCATCAGTCATCTTCCTCATGATCATAGCTGCACACATTTCATTATCTATACTTTCAAAAAAGATGATTACAATGTATTAATGATGT